ATGGTTATGATTAGTTCATCCTGACTGTTGTGTTTAGTTCATCCTGATGGTTGTGATTAGTTCATCCTGATTGCTGAGTTTTGTTTATTTTGAAGTTTGTGATTAGTTCATCCTGATGGTTATGATTAGTTCTTCCTTATTGTTGTGAGTAGTTCATCCTGACTGTTGTTGATTAGTTCATCCTGATTGTTGTGTTTAGTTCATCCTGACGGTTGTGTTTAGTTCATCCAGATGTTGTGATTAGTTCATCATGACGGTCGTGTTTAGTTCATCTTGAATTTTGTGTTTAGATCATCCTGATGTTCATCCGGTTGTGTTTCAGATCCAGTAATCATCTCGAGCCTCCTCTCAAACTAAAACCATAAATAATAATAAAAACGTCACGTCTTATTAAACCCTGGTCCGTTTCACTCAGTCCTGCAGTCAGAGCTTGATTCTGGCTCTGGATCCAGATGTGCTGTACAGCCTGGAGGCTCCAGCTGTGTGGGTTCGGCCCGTCGGCTCCAGACGGTGGACCGATATGTCAGATATGACTTCACACCCAATCCCCTCTTATCCTCACTTCACACTCGTCTATTTTTACTGTGGGAGGCGGCTGCCGGTGCCGAGGGCCGTCGAGCCGGCGGACACGCTGCTGCTGTCACGGGGAGAGGCGGGTGAGGAGGTCCGAGGGGCGGTGCTGCTCGTGTTCGGGGGAGCATGTGGTGCATCAGAAGCAGGAGTGTGTGTGGTCGCTGCAGCAGGGATGTGTGGCGCTGAAGTGGACTTTTAGTTTGTACTTTAGAAGTGTTTGTGAGAGATCGAGTGTTCTGGAGTCGAGCCCGACCACGGTGGCGCCACCATGACAGGTTGTGTGTGACACGCAGACACACATACATGTTATAAAACAACATTTCATCTCCCAGACGATAAACTAAAACACATTATTCTGAAGGAACACGTGGTCCTACAGAACATCTTCAGATCTGCAGTGAAAGTCTTTGAGTGTTGAGAGAACTTCATCTACACCTGATCTGGAGAAAACGGACCTCAAGCCCAAACGCCAGGGGTCCAGATCCAAGTAGCTGGAACAACAATGACCAGAAGATCATCAACACAAGAAGAAGGTGAGACAAAGAACCTGACGAGGAACAGCCCTGAAGTTAAAAACTGCAGAGGAAGATGACGTGCGACGTCCAAGGTCGTAGATCGATGATGGACTTTGTAGTCGTGTCTTCTGATTTGTGGATGTTTGTTTTGGACACTCGGGTGAAGAGAGGAGCTGTCGGCTGATCACCACCTGTGGTGAGTTGGATCAGATGGTGGGAGAAGATGCTGGACAGACCCGGTAGACCCAAACGTGTAGTGAGGGTTTGCTGGGAATGCCTGGCAGAAGAACCCGTCAGAGAGATCTTCAACTCACACCTCCAGGAGAGCTTTAACCACATCCCAGCTGGGGCGGGGACATGGGTCAGAGTGGACCACGATTGTTGAGGGTTAGTTAGGCTAACTGTAACTCCACCAGGGCTGCCCGTTGTCACCGAGCCTGTTCATAACTTTCGTAGACAGAATTTTTCAGTGCAGCCAGGGGGTGGAGGGGGTCCGGGCTGGTGACCTCAGGATTCCATGTCTGATATTTGCAGATGATGTGGGCCTTGATCTTCAGCTCTCACTGCAGCGGTTCACCTGGGCGCCTTCTTAGGGAGGTGCTTCAGACATGTCCAGCTGGGAGGAGACCCCGGGGAAGACCCAGGACACCCTGGAGAGACTACATCCCTCAGTTGACCTGGGAACACCTTGAGGTCCTCCCAGAAGAACTGGAAGAGGCTGTGGAACGATTTGTCTGGACCTCCCTGCCCCCGAGACCTGAGTCCAGAACAAGATGAAGATGATGGTTGGAACCTCTGAGAGTAGAACCGTTGTGGTGATTAGAAACGATGTAGTGAACAGAACAGAACCCAGTTGGAGCCACTACGACCCAGGTGTGGTGCCTGGAAACTAAAACCAGATACACTGAACCACGACTAGAACCTGACGTGTTCATTGAAAACTGAATCCAGATGTGATGAGAAGTTATGGCAGTTGGAAACCAGATGTTGTGAACAAACCATAAACAAGTGCGGTCATTAGGAAGTAGAATCAGGTTCTGTGTTCAAAAACCAGAACCGGGCGCTGGTGGAAACAAAGTTAACGAGGATAACTTGTTGGGTTTTTACCAAACGCACAACTCGAAGTACGAAACAGTCACACGTGTAAAATAAATCAGAGACTGTCACACTTCATTTCCTCTTTGCCCCCCCTTCACAATAAAAGCCTCGTGCTCTCGTCAGCAGTGGTAGCAGGTAAATCCGTCGTAAGCGGCGGGGCTGAGGAAGTAAATGTGGAAAAACGAGGAGAGTCCGAGGGGAGGAAGACGGATCCTGTCGAGGATGTGGGCGGTGTAATGACATTACCTGTACAGTGGCCTGGGAGGGCCAAAACATCAGGGCTATCATTAGCGGGTAATTAGCATCTGACTGTGCGGCGGTGGCGGTGGGGGGACGTTTGCGTTGTTTGTCAGTCTGTAACGGTGTTATCTCACCACCTGCCTTCATTACAGCCGGCACTCCATCAACAATTAGCCAACAAGTTTCAGCTGGAGTTTGGGCCGCTCCCACGGTGGCAGCATGTTCCCTCCACCAAATTACAATAATTATGATTCATTTATAGCCGTGATTGACGGCTGAGCCAGGCTGCACCACCTGACGGCGTGCTGCGCTCCGAACACGGCAGGTGAAGGTGATATTTAAGCCGCTCTGCTGCCGTCTGACAGGCTGGAAAGTTCCCTCTCCACATTACGAGGTGATTAGAGTGGGCCGTTAATGGCATATTAATTGGCTGGATTGAAAGTGGCAGGAATCAGAGGGGAGCACCAGGACTCTTCATCTTTATTTAGCCCTAATGAGACATGGGTGGAAGGTATTTTAAAAATCACATGTTGGATCTCCAGAGCGAGGGGCTAAAAGGAGACGTTTTTACATCTACATGTCAGGCTTTTAGCCGAACGTCTCTGAAAAGCCTCACAATTAGAAAGAAAAAGCTTCAGTTCTCGGCTTTTCACCAAAACACCGAAGACATTTTTACAGCGTGAGTCCACATGTGAACTGCTGTTCTTTTCACGGTGACTAAGAGCTGCAAATGACAGAAAATCACACGAAATTGACTGCGTAGTTCTGATTTCTCTCTGCTAAACTCCAACTGCCTGACCAGCAGGTTCCTGCAGATCTCAGGTCCTGTCCAGATGTTCACCTTTTCAGGAACAATTCATCCTCAGAACTTTACTCAGAGGTGAAGGCGCCGCAGACACCGGCTGTATTAAAACATGTTTAATATTTAAACAGCTCGTCTCGTCATCATGAAACATCCAACAGTCAAACTTAAAACAACAGATATGACTCAAAAAAAGCTGAAGCTTTCAAATAAAAGCACTGAGCAGGAAGCTCTTCCAAGGGTTCGGTCTGTGGTCAGAAGTACATTTTACTCTGAGCACTTTTACAAACTAACGTTGCATAAATTTATGAATTAAAAAATAAACATTAGTTTAAACATAAAGACATGAATTAAAAGGCCTAGCAATGATCTTCTAATCACCCAGATGATTGCAGGGGATGGATTTGAGTTTAATCTTTTATGGGAAACTACCTGAACTGAGCTTTGGCTTCAGTTGATGGTGGAAGGACCCAAACCCAGACTACAGGCTGGCAGGACCAGGATCAGGATCCAAACAGGTCTTTAAACCAAAGTACAGGTCACTCAAAGAGCAAAACTGAAGACTGACCGGAAAGGAGATATCAAGAAGACAGAGGATCTGATGACCGAGGAATAAATACACCAAAAACAGGAGACTAGTGAGGACAGGTGAGATGAAACCAGGTGAGAACCAAAGTCTAACAGGAAATAACCACAGGGTCCTACAAAATAAAACAGGAAAAAAACACAAAGCTAAACAGTAAAAACAAAAGAAAAAGAAGACAAATTCTACTAAAACCTGAACAAAGGACCAGAAGAAGTCCAAAAACCCATGTCATGAAAATTAAATCAACTATAGCTGGAACAAGTTGATTTAGAGCTGTGGTTGTATCAGATGATTTTGTGTGAACATGTAAAGAGACTGGAAAATTGCACTGGTTCAAAATTAGAATGTCTGGTTTTTGTTTTTTATTTAGTCAAAGGGAATTTGTAGAGCAAAGCAGAACAGAAGCATTTGAGATCACCACTCTTCACAGAGAGAGAAATCAATACATCATCTGCATATTGATGAAAATCAGAATTATTTTTCATTCATTCAACCTTTATTTAGACAAGTGAATCCCATTGAGCCTCGAGGACGTATATAAAGAAAATATGAGTCTGAGTACACACCCCTGAGGCACCCCACTGCTCAGAGCTAAATTTATTGATCGGTGTTATGGTTTTAAATTTATAGTTTCCACAGATTTTAATTGTAATTAGATTCACATTTTCTGTAAACAGAATAAAAGCAGAAAATAAACAGTTTAAAACGGTTGAAAATATATAAAAATATGTACAATATATATATATATAATATATATAATATATGTACAATATAAATATGTACAATGTATATAATATATATGTACAATATAAATATGTACAATATATATAATATATATAATATAATATATATAATATATGTACAATATAAATATGTATAATATATATAATATAATATATATAATATATGTACAATATAAATATGTACAATGTATACAATATATATATAATATTTTTTTTCTTTTTTTTCATTTAGCCTTTATTTATCCAGGTTAGTCTCATTGAG